TGAATGATCATCTGCTGATACATCTTACTTTCTGGACTGGAGACAATCTGAAGCATAGTTGGCATAATTTCAGGAAGAAGAGCCCTTTATTGGAGTAGAAGAATTAATATTATTCAAGAGGGAGTAGTGCTAAAAGCAGGGAGAGGAAAATTAGGTTGTAAACTATTACAGATCTAACAGTGTTTATCAGTAATATCTGGCCCAATCAATACTCCTTGAATGTGAATAAAGTTTCCTGCCTTAAGAAACAGTGAAAGGAAATCCAGGAAGCCTTATGTGAATTGAGGCACAGTGAAATGAGCAGAACAAGAACAATCTGCACAGTAATAGCAATATTGTAAAACTGTAAAAGACTTAGCAATTCTGATGAATACAATGAACCACTAGAATTCCAAAAACTCATGATGAAAAATGCAATGGACTGAGAGACTGGTTGAAGCACATTTTTTCCCCTTGATTTTGTACCCACCATCAACCCTGAATATGGCTAATGTGTTAATATGTTTTACATGATTTCACATATATTTGAGGTACTGTATTTCTTGTCTTCTTAATGGATGGAGTAGAGGTGGAGACAGAGAATTTGGAACTGAGAATAAAAATAAAATTGAATTTAAGAAACAGTATGAGGAAAAAATTAATTATAGAATATTAAATATGTGACTACAAATGGGGATACTGGACTTTATCTATGAGGAAGTTATTGCAAGTTTTCTTGCAAGAAGTGAAATGCTTACTGGTACACTTATTTTGCATTTATTTTCTCTATCAATGTAAAATGCATATGTTTTCTCTGTCACGTAGAACATCACTTCTTAAACTGTGCACTTTGCACTATGGATACCTTCAGGCCACATAATATCAAGGAATGCTGCAGAAACTCAAAAAGGGATCTCGAGTGGAAAAAGTTTAAGAAGTCTTGATATAGGATGATATTTGGACTGAAGGACACAAAAATGGTTAATAGGGAGTTGATACCCAAGACAACAGGAAGATAGTAGGAAAATATCCTTGATGTATTGTCTTCACCAGACCTAAGATGAACTATATCCCGAGGCACTTAAAGAAGTAGCAGATGTGACTGGACCATGCAGAATGAAAGAGGTACCACAAAACTAGCGATGGAGAAATATCCTGATTTTCAAGAAAAGTAAAGAGAATGTAACCTGACTTCCAAGTAAGTTTGAACACATTACCATATTTCTAAATGAACATTTAGAAAAGGAAGTAGTGATTAAAAAGAACCAACATGTCTTCATTAAAACAAATCACGTTTATGTCAATAGAGGGAGAAAATTTTTTTACAAAGTTCAACTGTTTTATCCTTAAAAAAAACCCTACAAATAATAGGCATAGGATTTTGAAAATATGATTTTAAAAAAACTATCCAAAACCAAATATGCATCATACATAATGGGAAATACTAGAAGCTTTCTCAATTAATACAGAAGTAAAGAAAAGATGTCCTTTTTTCCTACTATTATTTGACAAGAGTTCTAGAAATGCTAGTGGTAGCAATAATACAATAGAAAGAAATGAAGGAAATAAAGATAGGTAAAGAAAAGTTTAAACTATCCCTATTTTTTGATGACATAAGGAATCAGCAAATAAAAAAAAACAATGGATAGCTTCAGTAAACGAGCAGGCTACAATATAAACCCACAAAAATCAATGGCATTTCCACATTACAATAACAAAATCCAGGAAGTAATAACGGAAAGGCAAAGTCCCATTTAAAATAACTACAAAGGCAGAGCCAAGATGGCAGAGTAAAAACAGTGACTTGCTTGAGCTCTCTCCAAAACCCCTCCAAAAACCAGTAAAAAATTACTCTAAACAAATTCTAGAGTAACAGAAGCCACAAAAAGACAGAGTGAAACAAATTTCCAACCCAAGATGACCTGGATTGTTGATGGGAAAGGTCTGTTGCACCTAGCTAGAAGAGAACAGTTCAGCATGGGCAGTGCAGGCAATTACGGGGCCTCAGTGAATCTGGAGCAGACCTCAGGAGACTAAATGACTGGCAGTTGTGGTGGTTTCCAGACTTCTCAACCCACAAACTCGAAAGACAACTTAGAAGGTCAGTAGAAAAGGTCTGTTGGAGCTGGGTGAGAGAGGAGCTCGAGGGGCAGTGGAGCAGTGGATAGAGCACCAGCCCTGGAGTCAGGAGGACCTGAGTTCAAATCTGGCCTCAAACACTTAACACTCACTAGCTGTGTGACTCTGGGCAAGTCACTTAACTCCAATTGCCTCACCAAAAAAAAAAAAGGAGTTCTAGAAATGTTAGCTATAGCAGTAAGTTAAGGGAACAAAATCAACTGGAAAAACATAAAGAAAGAGGAGAGAGGAGCTCAGTCTGGCCCCAGCTACTTCTGGAGCTTTCAACCCACAGACAGTAAGGGGATTGAGCAGGTGATCAGAGGGGGATTGCAGGGATCTCTTTCCTGGTGCTGAGGCAGGATTCTCTTGCTTTGCCCATGCTTGGATATGGGTCACAGTTCTGAGTGGTGGTCCTGGGGTGAGGAGAAGGGCTGGTGTAGATGGAATTCTCCTCACAGTTCCAAGGCAGAAAAGAGTGCTTGTGATCACTCATAGACCACAGCACAGGCCAGGAAAGAAGTAAACACCTCTCCTTTGATCACACCACCTTAGAAGAACTGAAAATTTACAGGTCCCTAGAAGTATCTCTGAAAACAGCTGCACAGAACTCCTGAAGCTTGGAACAGCACGCCCTCCACACTGGAAGCAGAGCCCTACCTTAACAAAGAGTTAAAATGTCAAGTAATTGGCTGGGAACATGAGCAAACAGTAGAAAAAACTCAGACTATAGAATCTTACTTTGGTGACAAAGAAGATCAAAACCTACAGGTAGAAGAAGAGAACAAAATCAAAGCTCCTACATCCAAAGCTTCCAAGAAAAATAGAAATTGGTCTCAGGCCATTGGTCTCAGATTTTGAAAATCCAGTAAGAGAAGTAGAGGAAAAACTGGGAAGAGAAATGAGAATGATGCAAGAAAATCATGAAAAATGAGTCAACAGCTTGCTAAAGGAGACTCAAAAAAATACTGAAGAAAACACCTTAAAAAATAAAATAAAATATCTAGAAGTCAATCTACTATAGCAATTCAATACCTCTATACATACAAATATAAAATGCTACTCAAAAAAAAGTAGAACTTAAATAATTAAAAGGATATTCAGTATTCATCACCAGACTATGTTAATATAATAAAAATGGCAATGCTACAGTAGTAATTTACAGATTCAGTGCCTATACTAAACCAGCCTACCAAAGGGATACTCTGTAGAGCTAGACAAAATAATAATAAAAAAAATTATTTAGAGAAACCAAAGATCTAGAACATCAAGGGAAACAAAGAGATACAATTGGAGGAAAGGAAGAATAGCACTTGCAAACATCAATCTACAATACAAAGCAGAATTCATCAAAAGTATTTTGTACTGGTTAAGAAACAGAAAACCGGATCAATGGAACAGACTACACAAAGAAGAATCAGAAATAATTGAACTCAGAAATTTGAGTTGAACTCAAGTCCATAAAACTTGAAAACATAAATTTCTAGAAAAGAATTTCCTATCTGATAAGAATTAACTAGAAAAACTGGAAGTAGTGGCAGAAATTGGGTTTATACCAATATATTACATCACCTATCACAAAAAAGGTAAAAATGTATATGCAATTGAATATGAAATATAAAAAATCAGGAGAGAAGCAAATCACATATTTTTCTTAACCAAACAAGGTATAAAGGTTATAAACAAGATATAAAAGTTAATTTCAAATTGCATACGTTTGAAACTTTTTCATAAATAAAATAAATGTAACCAGGGTAAGAAGTGACACAGTTAACTCAGGGGAAAAAATTTGAATCAAATATCTTAGATATGGGTGTAAGAGCCAAATTACATAGAAAATTAACACAAATATATGACAGAAAGTCAGTCCCCAATATATTGGAGATCAAAATATATGAAAAAAAAAGAAAAATTGCAAACTATTAACAATCATGTGAAAGAATACCCCAAATTTCCAATGGTAAGAGAAAAGCAAATCAAAACAACCCTAAAGTCCCTTTCCCTCATGCCCAGCAAATGGACAAAGATAATAAAAGATAAGAACAGTTAGTGTTGGAGGAGATGTGGAAAAACAGTCACAGAAATACATTTTTTTTGGTGGAGCTAGGAATTGTAACTATTCTAGAAAGCAGCTTGGAATTACATAAAAAAAAGTGATGAATATGTTCATACCTTTCGACCCAGAGACTCCAGTTCCCAATAAGGTCAATGATAAAAAGAAAGGCCCCATATATACCAAAATACTTATAGTAACATCTGTTGTGCTAGCAAATAACGGGTAATAAAGTAGATGTCCATTGAACTGGGAATGGTTAAAGGAATTTAGGTACATGAATGTAATAGAATATTTCTATGACAGGAAAACTTTCATAATGACTACAACAATACAAAATGGAAAGAAAACAAAACAACTGAAAATGATAAAAATTGGTCCCAAAAAAAACAGATATGAGAAGACATAGGAGTGGGGATCACCCATATAGATATTACATATAATATCAGACTTTTTCAACGTCAGAGTAGCTAAATTTTTCTTCTTTTTAAAAATTATTTAATATAACATATGGCTTTCTGGGAGGGAATGGTTGAAGGGATATAGTACAATATAAAAACAAAGTATATAAACAAAATTTATTTTTAAAAACTATAAAAGAAATCTATGTCCTTTTTGGGGGAAGTGGACACAGGGTCACTAACCTAGATCTGGAAAATACTGTAGAAGAGCAGAACATTTGACTCTCATGATACTCTTTTGGACAAGATGGAGAGATGAGAACTAGATGAGAGATTTTAACTTTTTTTTGTATCACAGACTCCTTCGGCAATCTAGTGAAGCCTATGAACCTCTTCTCAGAATAATGTATTTAAACGCATAAATAAAACATATAGGATTATAAAAAAATTACACTGAACTAGTTACCAATTTTTTTTTAAGTTCAAAGACCCCAAGTTAAGAATTCACTGAAAGAAGTATCTGATAGTGAGCCCCAGGAATCTGTGCTTAGTCCTGTGTTATTTAATATGTATATCAGTGACTTGAAGAAAAGGTCAGATGGAATGCACAATAGAAAGTGTGCTGGATATGCAGTCAGAAGAAACTAATTCTGCCCAAATACCAGTTTTGCTACTTACTACCTGCGGGACCTGAAACCTTAACATGTCCAGGTCTCAGTTTTTTCATTTACAAAAGGAAAGGGTTCGACTAAGTGACCTCTAACTTCTCTTCTAGATTTAATGAATGCCTGTCAGATTAATAGATAAAGCAAACATGAAAGGGATTGCTAACACAACGATGAACAAGTTAGGATCCCAACAAACCTTGAGAGATTCTACAGTTGGCCAGTTCTAATGAGATGAAGCAGAGTTGGAGTAAATGTAAAGTCTTACACTGGGTTCAAAAGTCACTTTCACAAGTACAAGATTGGGAAGGTATTGCTAGTTTGTATAAAAAAAATCTGGGGGATATGGTGGGTTTCAAGTTCAATGAGACAATGTAATAAATGTTAACATAAACTTAGGCTACATTTAGAAAGGCATAGAGTCCAGAAAGCAGATGATCCTACTGTACTCTGCTTTGGTTAAATCACATCTGACATACTATGCTCAGTCACAGGCACTATATTTTAGGAAAATCATGGATAAGCTAGAACAGGGGTGAAGAACTTGTGGCCTTCTAGGTAAGTGTGGCCCTTTGAATCCAAACTTCCCAGGATAAATCCCTTTATTAAGAGGATCTGTTCTGAGAAGTATGGATTCAGTCAAAGGGCCACACTTGAGGACCTAGAGGGCCACATATGGCCTGGAGGCTGCAGGTTCCCTATCCCTGAACTAGAGTGTCAAGAGGTTAACCAAAATGGTGATGGCCATCTGAAGGAAGTAGGTGTTTAGCCCTGAGAAGAAAAGATATAGCTTTCTAAGTATTTAAAAAGCTTTTTCATGGAAAAGGAATCAGACTTCTTGTATTTAGTCCACAAGTATAGCCACGAGTAGAAGTTGGAGAGGTGGATTTGCTAAGCTAAAGCCTTAGTAAAAGGAAGAACTTCCTGATAATTAGAGCTATCCAAAAGGAGGTAGTCAGTTCTCATCACTGGAAATCTTTAAGTAAAATCTGATGGCCATTGGTCAGGTATTTTGTAGAACTGATTTTTTTCAAGTACATGGACTCTGAAGTCCTTTGAATTCTGATTCTATAATTACAGACACTCTGAGATGGCATTTCAAAATACTTCAATTCTAGTGTTTACTTGTTACACTGATAGAGGCTTTTGTCTTTTGTGACTTCTTTGATGTTTAATAAGGTAGGGATTCTGATTAAAAGCTCTTCCACCCTCATTACACTAATGTTTTTCCCCTGCATGGATTCTCTGATGTTCAGCAAAACCTGTGAACCCAGTAAAATTCTTCTCACATACCAAACATTTATATAGCTCTTGTCCTTCAAGTTTTCCCCATTGTGTTTCTACCTCTTCCTTACCTTCACAGGCCTCTCTGTGCTCAGGATCATGAAAAAATCTATTACCAATGTGGATTCTCTGATGTCTGAGAAGATGTGAACTACGCCTGAAAGCTTTTCCACATTTACTACATTGATAAGGCTTCTCCCCAGTATGGATTCTGTGATGTTCAAGAAGGCTGCAGCTCTGACTGAAAGTTTTCCCACAGTCATCACATTCATAGGGTTTCTCCCCTGTGTGGATTCTCTGATGTTTAATAAGATCTGAGCTGTGACTGAAGGCTTTCCCACATTCTTCACATTCATAAGGTTTTTCTCCAGTGTGGATTCTCTGGTGTATAATAAGGGCTGAACTCCCAATGAAGGCTTTCCCACATGTATCACACTCATAAGGTTTTTCACCAGTGTGGATTCTCCTGTGCTTACTCAAACCTGAACTTTGAGCAAAACATTTCCCACATTCATCACATTTATACTGCCTTCTTCCAGTAGTGTTTCTCTGTTTTTTTTCTAACCTGTTTTCTTGTTCACAAAACTCTCCACCCTCTAGACCCCTGGGAATTTCTCCACTAAATTGGCAAGATGGGTGCAATTCTGCAGGAAGTTCTTGTTTTTTAACTGATTCTCTGATATCCATCTTGAGTTCACCATCTGAAACAATAAAGACATCATCAAATGTTAATATGGCATGTCAGAGGCAATGTTCCATAGAAGTAGGAGCCTTAGTCTTAAATTAGGTTTGCATAACATCTTTGCCACCTGATTTCTGTGTTACTCTTCCTAAGCCTCAAGTTCCTTTCCACATAAAATGAGGATAATAATACTTATACTACCCCTCACAGAGTCTTGTGAAGGTGTTTTGTAAATGTGAGCTGTGGTGCTAGGATGTGAAATAGATGTGAGCTGCTATAATAACAAGAAAAAGTCTGTGGGAGAGTGATGAATACAGATCTTTAATATTTACTAAGAATATACAGCCTGTATCTTTCTGCATCATTCCATCTTGAGGCTGATGATGTAACTGGGAGACTAAGCAGAATACTAGATAAGAAGCTTAGGTATGACAGAGCCTGGTCAACTATAAAAACATACTGCATACTATAAAAAGTAATAAGGAATGGAGATCCCAGGGCACATGCAAAGAATAAATATAAAGAGCTAATAAGGACTGGAGAAAGACAGCAGTCTCCTTTTCTAGATCATCCACCCATGTCTTACCCTTATAGTTAGTACTGTGATCTGGGCCCTAAAACATTAGAAGTTCTCCTTCTGTAGTGGTCCCTACAAGTGAGAAATTCATAATTTAACTCAGAGAAGGCCTCATAGCTTCTAACAATGATGCAAGTCAAGGAACAAAGTCTAAATAAAGACTAATTCTCCACAAGTTCTTACCCAAGGAGACCATGTACCTATAATTCTCCTGACTGTCACCTCTACAGAGGTTCATTTCAGATGGCTCCAGCTGCTCCCACTCATCAGGAGTTAGAGACAAGGCTTTATCTTCCATCAATTACCAGCATATGCAGATGACTCCAAAAATCTGTGCATCTGGCTCTAGTCTTTCTCCTTAACTCCAGCCCCCCATCACCAAATGCCTATTGGATTCTAAACAAATGTCCTATAAACATTCTAAACTTGATACTTCCAAAACAAAAATCATCTTTCCCTCATAGACATTCTCTGCTCCTTCTTAACTTCCCCTTTCTGCTAAAGGTACCACCATCTTCCAGCACATCTACCATAGCACATCACATCCACCAGCATACCACATCAACTACAGCACATTTGCTCTGTCTTGTAAATTCTACCTTTACAATATCCTTTACATCTACCTCCTTCTCTCCATTCATACAGCCAGCACCCTAGTTCAGGCACTCATCATTCATAGCCTAACCCAAAGGTGTCACACACATAGCCTACAACACTCCCCAGCATAGTCTACCAGATTAAAATGTAATTGGGAAATATTTAACAAAATAAATAAAAGTACAATAGGATATAATGTCAATATGTGGTTTTCTAAGTCAATATGCAGACTGCACAGAACCTTATGTATGGTTTAGAGGGCCTCATTTCTATTTGAGTTTGACACCACTGGCCTATACCACTGAAATAACCTAACAGACCACTGTTCTCCCCATCTCCAATCCACTCTCCATACAGCTGCAAAATTAATATCCCTAAATAATAGGTCTGACCATGTCACATCCTCTGCTGAAGAAGCTCAATTTGCCTTTCCAATAAAATATAAACTGTTTGTTTTTCACAGTTTTGCTCTAGCCTATTATTACTCTCTTTCATGTACTTTATGTTCTAGCCCAATAACTTATGGCTCCCTATACATGGTACTGCATCTCCTGTCTTAGTGCCTTTGGACAAACTGTGTGATATACTTCTACCTCAATCTTCACTTCATATAATCTTTAGCTTCATTCAAGGTTCATCTCAAGTGAAGTCTATGCTAATCATCCCTTAATTTCTAGTGCCCTCCACCCTGGAAATTATTCTATTTGCCTTGTGTATATTTTATATTTGTTTTTCTACATATATATTATTCCCATCAATAGATTATAAACTTAAAGTCAGAGACCATTTTGTTTCTGTCTCTGTATCTCTAGCACCAAGCATAGTGCCAAACATACAATCAACGATTAATAAATTCTTATTGAATAAATAAAGGAAAAGGTAAACAGGTAATCTTTTTCTGACATTGACAAAAAGAACAACAAAGATGGGTATTCAGGTAACACGTAAGAAAATTGTGCATTTCTAAACTTTGTGAAGGTCAGCATCTGATATAAGCAAGGAGCTGTCAGTTCCTACAAAAGTGGTTTAAAAAAAAGTGGTAAAAAGAATTCTGGACTAGATGCAGAGGAGACCTAAATTCTAATTCTAGCTCTGCCACTAACTAGGTGGCATGACCAAGGCATTTAACCTTTATGCACTTAGATTACATTATCTTTAAGGTTCTTTCTAGGTCTAAAATTCTATGCTTTGAAGGAATCATCTCAAAGCTCTCCTTCTGTAGTGGTCCCTAACAAGTGAGAAATTCATAATTTAACTCATAGAAGGCCTCATAGCTTCTAACAATGATGCAAGTCAAGGAACTAATTCTCCATAAGTTCTTACCCAAGGAGACCATGTACCCATAATTCTCCTGACTGTCACCTCTACAGAGGTTCATTTCAGATGGCTCCAGCTGCCCCCACTCATCAGGGGTTAGAGACAAGGCTTTATCTTCCATCTTTAGCAACCCCTGAAACAAAAGGAAATCTCCAATTTCTACTGTTCCATTGCTGAGATCTACTGAGAATGCTATGAAGGAAAACAAGCTTAGAAATAAAACTATAAGTACTTTACCAAAGAGCAGAATAATCATCTTTACCAAGAAAACAAAATCAATAGTCTTTAAAGGAAGAGAATCAGTAAGACATGATCTCATCACAAACAATAAATATCTAGAACAAGTATTTCCATCTATACAATGAAATAATATACAGCAGAGGATTTAGAAAACAAAGTACTGTAACAATAACAACTGTGGAGATCTCAAGAAGTACAAAGAAAATTAGATTAAAAAAAAACAGGAACAGACCTAAGTAAAGAATTTAACATAGAAAACATCATAGAATTAATAACAGCCCAGGAAAGATGGAAAAGATCAAGTATGAAGATAAGGGTAGAGATATGGACAAAAGAGAAAGAACCTCTTGTGCAACCCAGAATTTGAAGTACATATAAAAGATATTTTGTTCAATTAAATATTTTTAAGCCTAGTACTGTTGCTGTTGTTGTTGTTTGGTCATTTTTGATCGTGTCTGACTCTTAATTACCCCACTTGGACTTTCCTTGGCAAAGACATTGCAGTGGTTTGCCATTTCCTTCTCCAGATCATTTTACAGATGAGGAAACTGAAGTAAAATAGGGTTAGGTGACTTGCCTAGGCCAGATTTGAATTCAGGAAGATGAGTCTTCCTAACTCCAGGTCTGGTACTCTCCACTGCACCACCTAGAAGCCAAAGGCCAATATACATATAAACTAAAGAAAAAAGAAAGGTATCTAAGACTATTAAAGCAAGACTATTTGGTTTAGAGTTTAAGAAAGATGGTGATTAAGAAGTCTAGGCGTGTATAGTCTAAATCTGAATGGGTCTTGCATCAGGGCCAAAGAACTTGGGCTAAGTTTCCTTGTAGGGAGTTTACTGAACAAGTTCTAGAAGAAAGGGAGGAGACAAGACCATAATTAAGCAGCAGCCCTGGGGTCCCTGTGAGGACATCTGGGGCAGTAGCTCACCTGAAGCCTCGGAGTGGGAAGCACAACTGCTGTTTCCAGGTCTTTATAGCTCCCTTTTGGGAAGTAGGCAGGAACTTGGAGAGCTATGGAAAAAGAAAAGAGTCTTGATTGAGACCAGGTCTGCCATGTAGCCTCCCCTCACTGTGGAAATAGGAATCCTTAATCTATACATTAAGTATCTATATCCATATGGTATATTCAAAATTGTAGACTATATGCCCAAAAGCCCAATTTCTATTCCTGTTATTCTTAAGGCCTGAAACAAACACATATATTTCATTTACTCTGTCTATATTATACACCTAGTGTGCAACACCACAGGAGCTTTCTAGAAGGGCCTTAAGGATGGTGTGGAATCTGGGGAAGGAAATAGGAAAAAAGGAACACACTTCCAGGCAGCTGTCACATAATCACCATAGACATGTAATAACAGATAATAATAATAACATGCAATAATCAGATTACACCACAAATGCCTCATGGAAGGAGATATCCTAGAATGTTCATTTTTCAGGGAGCCTTTTCAACTGTGGGAGGAGGAAGGGGTGTTTTTACTAGAAGTCACATAGAAAACACCCCCAATGACTCCTACACTGAGCACAAGAGATTAGTTAGGCTAAATTCATGGTAGTTAAACTGCAAAATCAGGACTAATAGAAAATTCTGGCTGACACTGTCCACATCATAATTCTTGTACTATTTTATTATTGAGACTTATAAAAGAATAATTTTTTAAAATATCACTACCATCTCAGTGTATTTAGTAAATCTCTGAAAGACACTGAAAGTTGACAATGGGTTTAAAGAACTGTATTTGTGATTGTCTCTGTTACTCTATTAGGAATAGCTCTTGATCAAAAGGGTACTTCTTTTCAGTTTTTGGGAGACCTCAGAAGACCCTAACACTTACCTCTCTCTTGGAGGGAGTGGAGTTCCTGAGATTCACACTTAAGTTTGGTCTCCACAGGCTGGAGCTGTATACTCCACTGGGATTCCTGGGCTGAGTTCAGAGGAGTCATCTTGTTCCAAAGCCCTTCCTTTCCCTGTATACTGGCTGGGACCTGGAGGCAAGCAATTAGGTACATTTTTGCATCTGAGAGAATCACTATGAGACCTAGAAATAATACCTCAGAAAAAAAAAACTGGCATAAAATGAGACAGGAGAAAACAGCCTCAGGGACATAATTCATCATATGACCTTAATACAAACATAACTACAACAAGTTTTTCTCAACCACTAGCCTAATATCCCACCCTTTCAGGCTTTGAAATTACCCCTTTAATCTGCCTTAGTCTCCCCTAGGGCTGATATAATCAGATTGGCATAAACTAGTAGAGTAACACTTTTACTAACAAATCACCTTTCCTTTTTACCTCCTGTCCTGATTCATCAAACTCTTTTTCCAAATCTTCCAACAGACTCACTGCCTCCTCTCCAGTCTCTGGATGATGGTTCAAAACCCAGGACTGGAGCTCCTCAGGTAGGATACTCAGGAACTGTTCCAGCACCAGCATTTCCAGAATCTGTTCTTTTGTACAACTTTCTGGCCTCAGCCATTGGCAGCAAAGCTCCCTAAGCTGACTCAGAGCCTCCCGAGGCCCAGGGGTATCTTGGTAGCAAAAATTCCTGAAGTGATGCCTAGACATCTCCCAGGTGGAGGGACTGCTTCTGTGTAAACTAGATTTCCGTACACAGCTGCGTCCTTCCTCTTCTTCCATCTTCACTGCCAGAAGTCCTAACTGTTCTTTAGGAGCCTGGTTGTCCAAGGCTGCAGCATCCCTGGATCCTGTAGCCATTCTGTGTTAGAATAGTTCATTAGGGGGCTCACTCCAGCTGAGGTTTTTGCTCTTTCAGGAACTTCCTGAAGGATGAGAAATCATTACAGGCTCATGAAAAAGTCTGCTAAAAGCTACTTTATGTACATGTTAATGGAGGGCCAGTCAGCAGTAAGGAAGCACTGACAGTTGCATTACAGCAGAGAAAGATGATATGGGATGAAATGGAATATGATGCAAACTTAAGGAGGAATAACACTGAATGAGTGACTGAATGAATGATGGCACCTTTGTTATAATTATGTTGATAAGAACAAGGCATAGTGAAGTTGGATCCTGACAAAGATTAAAGCTTGAACAAAGACTCTATTGTAATGTATTAGTTGTACCTGTGATGCCTGGTGTGAATCTAAGAAGAGTTGTTTTTAACAGATGATAAGGATAGAGGAAAAAGCCAACCTATATAAATTATGAACCGAATGGCACGAATTGTTTACATGCTTAAGGCCAGGGATAAGTCAAAAGAAGAGTTTTAGAAAAGAGCCGTCCCCAGCCTCGATAAAAGGTGAGCTTTGAATTACTTACACCTAAAATCATTTAGGAGTAGTAATTTAAGTCATTTGCCCTGCTACAAGATGAATAAGCGCAAGCCACTAAGTACTCTTTCTGAAGAATTTAGACCTAAGAGTGATTTTACATAACCAGTTTCCATTGTAATGTAACCCCAAGAAAATGAATGAAGAAAATAAGGAAGAAACATTTATCCAGAGCAAGCAAGGAGCTAACGGAAACGTTAACTGGAAAATAGTTCTAGTTTTTCAGGCTACAAGGCTCTGAGGACCCCCGGGTGGCTCCTCCCGGCAAAAAAAAATAAAAGTGCACCTGCTTCGGGACATAGGTCCCCAACAAAGCCCCTGAGCTTCCTTCGGCGCCTCCACTGACGCAGGGAAGATGGATTCCTTCCAGCCAGGTTTCCATCCACCATGCCCTGAGTCGCTAGCCCAGAGAAGGTGGCCTGGGGCTGGAGCTGGGCGCAGGGCGTAGGAGGCGCCGGGGACAGAAGGCTACCGAGCTAGGCAGGGGGAGGGAGCGACCCCTCCCACCAGGCGCCTCTGTGTGACGACAAAGCTCCTTCCTCCCCCAGGATCCCAGTTTTTTTCTTTCCTCTTTCCTTTTTCCGACCGCAGGTCGGTCCTTCGGCGGGTCTCTATACCGATCCTGGGGCTGGCTGTGGCGGTGGGAAGCCGCACAGACTTAGCCCCGGAATCCCCCGGGTGTATTTCCCTTCCGCCCCGCTCACCTGGAGAGCCTAAGGCTGGCCCGTGCGGCCTTAAAGCATGAAGGAGGAAACGTCAGGTTGAAGCAGTCCGCGGCCAAGACCAAAGAAACCCACACGCGGAACTCCCGGCGCGGGCTCAGCGGAGCCGAAGCGAGGGAACCACAGGCACTTCCGGGCCACGCTAGCACCCAGTCTCGGTGATTTTCTCTCATTCTTGACCTAAAAATTAACCCTTGAGGGCTTACTCCCAGAGAGTGTCTTCGTGGAGCTCTATGAGAACCTGGAAAATGTCCCTGTTGTAGGAGTGTATTGGAGCTAGATCCCCCTTGCTAGTGAGAGCCAGTTGTTAAATTTTTAATGTGAGAATTTACACCTGTGGAAATGGGCAAATACTTAGGGTTTGATTTATTGTTTTGCCAGTTGGAAAATTATGGAGAAAAAATGTGTTAATGATGCAGATAAAACTTAAAACAATGTCCTCTGCACTTTTTTTTTCCTGGAGAGATTGTTGTTAAACGTTTCCACCAGCACACCCCATAGTGAACTGCTAGATGGCAGATTGTGAGATGTGGGAATTTTAGATACTTTAGTCTAAAAATGAGAAAAATTTAGCCCGAAGATAGGGCTTTTCAGTGAGTACTTTTAGTTCCAGCTGATGAGGGTTGAGAGGTTTGGGACCCCTCAAAAACCAAAGTACAAGATGGGTCATCTGGAATGAATTCACAAACTCAAGCAATCTTTAAGCCAAGTTGCAAAAAGTTTATTGTTCTGCTTTTCAGCTGGCAAGGATTCTTAAGGAACCTGCAATCTTAAAACAGTATAGCTAAAGTTTATATAGTATAAAATATGATAAGACTTGTGTCAAATGCACTAATTAGGTGATTCAGGGCGGGATTAGGGAGTAGTTAAGGAGTGGTCAGTTCTTGGCACTTGTATCTACTGTGCAGGCAGGTTTACCCAGAGTTCACTGGGAAAAGCCCTCAAGGCAGGCCACATGGAGGTGTGGTTTTAGGTCTGCTACTTCACTAAGTTAACTAGCGGTCTGGGACAACTGAGAGTTGTCCAGTCTGCCACCAATCAATGTCTTGTTTGACAACATAGATGTAGGGAGTATACATATGTCTTAAGTCTAGAAAACAATTAATGAGGAGTCCAGGATGTAGATAATGAGGTAGGTAGGTAGAATAGATAGTTCAGTGGGTGAAATGTCTTCATGACCCAGTGCAAAGCCAGTTCAAACTAATAAATCCTTCAGGTACTGTTTGGAACTGCACCAGGGAAAGAGATAAGGGTCTTTCTGGGGCCCACTCATGAATAATTGCTAGGCATAATGCCCTTGGGCTGGGGAGGAACTGTCAGAGACAGTGTTTCTGAGGCTAGAGAGAAATTGGGGTCCAAGTACAAGCACCCAAACATAAGCACCCAAGCACCCCAACACAGCCATACAAATCTCCAGTGATTAGCTGAAACAATAAATAGATCATCTGTTACCCTTTGGTGATATCAAAAGATGATGAAAAAAATGCAGTATCTCTGTGTTCCTTTCTTACAGCTTCTAGAACCTCCTTTGGAATCAAAGAACCTGGATTCAAATTCTACCTCTGATATTTTTACTACCTGTATATCTGTGGAAGAGTCACTTAACTACCTTATGCCTCAGTTGCTTCAAATGCATAATAGGGAGTTCGACTAGATGGCCTCTGAGGTCCCGTCTGCCTCCAGATCTATGATCCTGTGTTCCTCTGGTTTTTAGAGAGCTGTGTAATGGCATCACCTTACACAAAAAAGGATGTGGAGAGTCCATTAAGGTACCCAAGCTAAGGAGGAGAAGTGGTTATGACATGGCAGGGGAAAGTTTTATGGCCAGAGTTCATAGTAAGGGAGGAGATACTGCAACCTGAGATTTAGGGTTATTCAGTGTTAGTGGGCTGGGTCATCAGTGGATGACTGAGAGTAGAAAATGGGAAATGGAGAGAGCTTCATTAACTGGGAAGAATGGGACAGAGCAAAGAGGAAGGCAAAGAAGATGGGTTGAGCAGGAAATTTCAATTGACGGGAGATAGTAAGGAACATAGTAAGTTTGGAAAGTGAAAAGGAAGATAGGGTGTTGTTTAGTTGTTTTCAGTTGTGTCCAACTCTTCATGACTCTTTTTGGGGGGGGTTTCTTGGCAAAGATACTGGAATGGTTTGCCATTTCCTTCCCCAACTCACTTTACAGATGAAGAAACTGAGGCAAACAATGTTAAGTGACTTGCCCAGGGTCACACAGCTAGTAAGTGTCTGAGGCCATATTTGAACTAGGTCTTCCTGTGTCTAGGCCCAACATACTATCCACTGTTCCACCTAGCTGCCCCTAAGATAGAGTAGTGATGTCTGCATTGGTGGGAAAGAAAGACTAGGGTAAATAGGAACATGATAGCTAAAGGCTTGGAGACTATAAAAAAAGATGAATGGAGAAAGATCAGAAAGAAGTGAGATTTTACGTATAATATCTACAGCATTTTCACATGTGTGATCCCTTGAATAACTTACACCACATTCAAGAGTTTTGGTGAGTCCATATCCACTGCCTTTTTTACTTTTTCTCTAGTCACCTAGAGGACACAAGGAGTTCAAAGAAAGGGTATTTAATGAAAGATCATTTTAAGATCTGCCATAAAACATTCCTGTTAGGAGCAAGCCACTATCCTCTAGTTCACGTTCAATGTTGGAAGTAAAAGAAGCACTCATAGGTCATTCAATAGTTAACAAATGGAGTTTTGCTTAGTCATAGCATAGAAAAGATATTCAACAAGGGTACTCAAGTACTTAGCTTGAGTAGATGCAGTACTCTTCATCTCCATATAGGAAAAAAAATCTGGTCAGCATGACAGAGTGTGGTAACAGCAATTTTAGTACCTTATAAGTCTAAAAGCCCCTGAATCCACACAAGTGGGCCTTTTTTATGTCCTTAGGCGACCAGGAAGTCGTATCTATATGACCATAGGCTGCATCAAGCTGCAACTTGAGCTTGGTCTCCTGGCCAATCAAGTCCCAGAGACAGTTTTGTCATCTTTCAGGGAAAAAGTAGCCTAACCCATGCTGAATGGGATGGGGCAGAAGAGGGAACCCTGGTAAACAGTGGTCCTATCACAATTCCACTCACATAAGCCAGGTAGAATGCCAATAATCCTAGGCCTTTTTCACTCCTATGTCTAGAGAGGAAGCAAAATCTTTTATTACAGATAACTAAGTTAAGATACAATAATCTTAGATACTCCCAAAATGTTTTCTGGATGCAAATGAATTAGAGCCAAAGCAAAAAGTAAGCTAAGGAGGCCAGTTTGTACCCACCTGTTCCTATACCTGTCTATGAGGAAAGAGGCATTTAAGTGCTTGCTATGTACCAAGCACTGTGCTAAAATTCTGGGGAAACAAAAAAAGTAAAGAGAGTCCCTGCTTTAAAGGAGCTTACATTCTAATGGAGAGGCACTTTAGTCCAGAAAGTTAAAGGGATGGTGATGGAGCTATAGGAGAGTAGGTCTATAGTATACCCCATTCAGGAACCATGTCATAGTTGATTTAATCATGATTCATAGTTCCAGGCTGTGCAGCTAGGTAATGCAGTGAATAGAATTCCAGGCCTGGAGTCAGGGAAACTCATTTTCCTGAGTTCAAATTCAACCTCAGATACTTGCTAGCTGTGTGACCCTGGGCAAGTCACTTAACCCTGTTTGCCTCAGTTCCTCATCTGTAAAATGAGCTGGAGAAGGAAATAGCAAACCACTCCACTGTCTTTGCCAAGAAAACCCCAAATGGGATCACAAATCACTTCATCCATTTATCAATTTAGCATTCTGTACTAATCACATTCAAAAACCTGTGTGGAGAAGCAATTATACTTTTAAATTCTTATTCATGCAGTTTCTGAGTAATGCCAAAAATCAAGTGTATTTTCTATTAAGGTCTGATCAAGCTATAAAGGGTCAAACATCATAATTATTTCACATTAAATGATATTACATAATTTAGTTTTAGGACAAACTCAAATAAAATCTGGATTTATAATCATAAATGACATTATTCAACACCTCAATTTTCCCAAGGGCCATTAATTGCCAGCACCTCAAATCATAGAGCCCACTTCTTTCATTTAGCTTTATGGTGACGATCTCACATTCTTATTTCCTTCTTAAAGTATTTCAGCATTAAAAAAAAAATCTTCAAACTCTAACTTGGAAATTGCGGCAAAGATATTACATTTCAGTTACAAATTTAATCTCTAACTTATAATACTATAAATTTCTATAAACCACGAAAAAGATTTCCTTTCTTTGCTTCTCTGTCTTTTATCTTTCTAACCTCAGTCTGTTCAGGGCTAAAATGACAGAGAGAAGATACCTTGCAGATTTTTTCTTAGCTTGAGATTACAGAAAGCTGAGAGATCTGTTTTAAATATGAAACTTTATTAATCCTCCTCACTATTCTAAATTCTCTGGCTGCAGGTTTTTTATTTGTTTGTTGTTTGTTTTAACAGAAGTCTTTATTTCCTTAGAAATCTCCAAAGTAGCAGAATCAACAAACAGTACTAAGCACTTATATAAGACAAAGGTTTTCCTGAGAAATTCATAGGGACAGCTGAGGAGAAAAAGGGTTTCCCTACTGTTGAAATATGAATGTTCAACCCACAAATGCCCAACCCTGAACAACAGTGTGTTTGATTGATACATGTATGAGCTTCCCTCATTAATCTAAGGTCCTCCTAAATGAATGGGTGTAAGACTGATATTAGGCAACTGGTTCATTGAGATCACTCAGTCAATTAAATTGGTATCAAGGCAAGACAAAATATAACACAAATAGCTGATAAAGAATTCCCTGTCAGCAGGTCATGT